TGAATGAATTTAAACAATTCTGAATTTCTTATTTTATGACTAGTTTTTCGTTTATTTTTTTCCTAAGATAAAACAAAATTTGAGGTAAGAAAAATAGAGGCAACAAAATGGACATTTCACATAACTTTTTATCGTATCTCTCCTTGATTTTAATAACGAAAGATGCAACGTCTCGGCGCATCGTTTTCTCGAATGGATACCTTTCAATTATTTATATAGATCTCTTGGCCTCGTAACGGATGGGGTTCAGTAAATTTTAGTATTCAATCAGTCTCGCTGCGGAGTTTACTTTTTTCTTTCCTTACCTTAACCTAGGCAAAAAATACCGTAACTGAATTTATCTTGAAATCAGGTTAAGCTAATTTTTCTTCTACCTGAGCTCTCGACGAGTTTCTCTCAAACTACTCCAACAGCTACGTAGGAACACAAACTTGGGGCGCGCAACGGCACACAGCAAAAATCATAACAAAGTTTCCAAACGCAAATAACCTCGTAATTTAATTCTATATCGGGGCAAAGGGTTTGATATCGCGACTACGAGTGCGAGAATTTATTGGGACAAACAACTTTGATATTTCGCTTACTAATACCGCTAGTGGAATTTTAAGCGCAAAAAGCGATACCGTCAAGCGATTAAAGAATAATCACTTCTCGAATTACCCATTCACATTGTTCACGTATTACACGTATTCCTAGCGTCGACGCACAATTTTCAATTTTACGTGAACGTTGTTTCAAAGCGAAATAGAAACTTTTTACCACACAGTTCTAATTGGAAATTATGAAGTGCTAGTGGAATGGTGAAATGGTAATTTATGAAACACGACTCGATTCATTGTGTTTTCCTTTTTTCGTCGATCAATTTTTTCCAACCAGTTCATTCAGTGTAAAAACTATTGACTAGTGTAAAAGATCGAAGTTCTAATTAAAAAATTCAAACGAAGGAAAATATCTTTATTGATACACCTTATTAAAAGTCATTCGAATTTTCTAAAATAATGAACTTTTTTGTTCATCTATAAAATTCGGTAGAAAAGTGATAAATTAATGATTCGAGCGTTTGCGTAAAACTTTTAATTTAGTTTCAATCTACCTTCGTGCAATGAACCTAAAACTGACGTGGCATTCTATGCATTGGTACATGCAATTTTCTTGTTTCAGTTGTTGTGAAGTAATTTGCTTCGCTTCAGTAGTAAAAGCAAAGCATTTCCTTTGACATCGCTTTGCAGTCACTTCTCTCTGTACGTCTAATTTCTCTTACATTTCTCATGTCGATCGACTTTTGTCTTCTTCTTTCTTTTTTCTTTTTTTTTTTTTTTAGTACGGAAATTAACAAATACTGATTTTCAATTACTCGCAGTCGGAATTTTTCTCATTTTCAGTAGAACACAAGTATTGAAACGAAATATTATTCTTTCGTATTTTTAGACATTACCGAAGAGATTCAGAGAAATGTTGTTAATTTTTAAAACTCATAATGTTAATTTAGTTGCAAAGATCTTACAAGCAACTATGCATTTCATAGACACATGTCGTATATATGGATTTGTAACATATATATACCGAAACGTTCGGAAACATGTTTCGAAATCCTGACTAAAATGATACATTAGTCACGGCACAATGTTACTAAATAGATCAAGTTACTGAAACGTACATGTACTCTCTATTCTGAACTAATTAATTGATTTCTAGGAAACAAACAACGAGTAGTTTCAACAGATAATTATTATCGAAATGGTCAAATTAAAATCACTATCAATTTTCAAGGAAAATGTAAATTCCTTAACCTCTTGCGCTGGAATGACGTGCCACGCACGTCGAGAATTTTTTGTCCCAAATTGCAACATTTTCTCAGTTTTAAGTATATTTAAATGTAACCCAGGTAAAACGAATGATAGAAGTACATTATTTCTTAATAATTTCTATCCAGCGATATCATAACGACGAGTACAAGAGAAAAAAAAGCGACGAAATAATTGTGTAAGGTTCGGTCACTCGTTATGGTCCGCGAACCAATTGCCAGCGCAAGGGGTTAATTTGAAATATAAATAGTCAATTCCTAAAAAGAAAAAAAAAAACAAAAAAAAAAAAAATAAAAAAAAAAGGAAGTTAAGTATAAATATGATATATAAATTTCCATTTGAGGCTCGTTTCTTTAGTTCTCGTCCTCGAAAATATAAAAAAAGGCCTAAGACTCCAGCAAGAGAAACCTCCGAACGCTTGTTTCCGATCGTTGCGCGAATCAGGCGGACGAAAAATTAAATTGAGAGCGAAAGATCGTGACGTCCGTGTCGTTAAAATCGATCGGCGAGGTTATTTCATGTCTGCGGTGACGTTTATTGTGAATTCTGACTGCGTGATGCATTAGGGAAGGGGACACATTAGTATTCGCGGTTCCGATGCGTTCGCACACTCTGAACGTGATACGACGCTTGGCGAACACGATGCGCAGTGCACGGAGAGCAATGTCAAAGGATCTCTCGGCCCGGCTCTATAGATACGATGTAATACAACGGGAACGTGTAATCACTGCCAGTTGCGACGGTTGTGTACATATATTTTGACACATGTTACACAGCCACGAAAGCCACATCACTCAAACCGAATGGGGTAATCGTTATTGCGCGAAATTTGATGGACTGTTACTCCGAAATCCAGGTCCGGCCTCTCCTCAATGTACATATGTACCTGCATTTGTTACGGGGAATTCTTGCAAGCGTTGAATTTACTTCTTCCGCTCCGTTACTACATTTAACATTGATTATTTTTGCTCGCTTCATTCGAATGCTCGTGTATCTTCTCGTCTTCAATTCTCGACTCGAAATCTTATTCAATCGGCATTAACAGAGGATGTAACATTGAGTAAAGAGAAAATCATTTCATTTTTTTTTGCTCGATATTTAGTTTTTACGATTTTGTTCGATATAATAAAGTGAAAGAGAATTTGAAGTAGAGATTTAAATTGAATAATATTTAGTGCATAGTCATTAATGTGGCTGAATATTCTGAGAAAAATTTCTCTAAATAACTGCTCTTTTGCGTTAAAATATTAACTACTTTAAATTGATGTTCCTTATAATGTGTGTCCTTTATAGTTGACTTTGCAAAGCTCATTTATATTTTACACTCTCAGAAAATCGTTCGAATATTTCATCTGTTTGTTCTCATTTGATCATTTTTAAACATCATCAATCTAATAATCTTCTGTTATTTAAACAGAAAAGTAAACCTCTAAGAATAGCCCTGAGTAATTGAATTAATTTAATCGTAAATTGCAGATCATAATGACCGAGTTATTGCAAGATCCGACTGTTTTTAATGCTGCAATTGTTCAGAAAGAAAAAAGAAAAAAAAAACAACCTGGAACAGTCTCGACAGCGTCGCAATTATCTCGAGAGAGATCTTTCAGCGTTATCCCGTAACACAGATGGTGTATCGATACTGGCGAGCGATATTCGAAATACGAGAACGAATTGTATCGCCGAGAAATCTAAATTATTGATAGGTGATTAAACTTTTAACGTCTCGACACGGCCAGAACGCCGCGGGCTGTCGCGAACAAAGCCAAATCCATTGAGATCGAAGGCTTTTGAAACGCGAGAAAGAGGGGAAAACGAAGAATACCAACGTTTCCACCAGAGGCAGTTCAAGAGAGCTTTTCATACAGATATCAAAAGGAACTCGCGAAATAACGTCCACGACAATAGGGAAACTCGCCGTCATTCTTTCGCCAGTCTGCCGGTCTCTGAAGGCACAATGCGGCAAATACATCGCGAGTCACTTATAAACTAGCGCCTTCGAACAACTTCTCGCGCTTACAATTTCGCCAGGGCGTATCCTTTCTTTGGCTCCAATGGCCGAGGATTAATTCCTTTCTGGGAATTTCGAATGTTTTTCAAACCCAGTTGTCTCGTATGAGTAATCCTACCGTTACGATTCGAATCGTAAAAAAGTAAGTTCGTAATCTTTTGTTTAAAATCGTAGTTCTCGAAAAGATTCAAGTCGTAAAGAAGGACTTTCAAATGATCTTGCTTGAAATTGTTACATCTTCAAGCTGAACTGTTTGAAATTCTACATATCGTTCAGAATAAAAGAGAATTCGTATCAATACGTCTTCTGACATAATCAACTTTCGTATCAAATACGTATCACGTAACGTATTCATTACAAAATACCTCCCCCGTTCGTCGAACGAATTATCAATGCACAAGTTCCACTTTGTACAATTACATCATTACCGCAGAGTAAGTACGCTATGCTTATTACCTCTCCGAGCTAATTTAAAATAACTTACTGGGCATCGAACGAGAGCGAATCGATATCCCGACGCTGCGTAATTGCATTACCAACATCGAAAGTATAAATTAACAAATAACTTTGACAAATTTATTCTCGTGAATTTACACTCCATCAAATTATCGTGAGATTCCTCTCGCGGTGCTCGTGCAATAAAATAATTCGATATATATTCCATTGGATCGAATTCTCCATCGTTGTTCTCCAAAATAACATTAACCGCGACAATACTTTAACCTACCCAATTAACAGCTTTATTCCCCCCCTCAAGAAGATCGATTTGCACGACTTCCTATCGTTCATTTCGTTGGACAAAAGATCGGATATAAAGAATCGTGCGCTCGTTTGCACGAGGATCGATCGCGAGAGACAAAAGGGCCGCCTTTCGAGCTTGTTCCTGCGCCGATCCGCGCTTAATTCGCGCCACGAGGACGTTTAACGAATTTCATATTCGGCAGTAACTGTCATTGTTTGCGGCGGGACAATGCGATGAGAATGAATGGGATGATGAGGATGCGTTATAGTAAGACACGTTATCGTCGTACGATTCACACAGCCGTTGCTTCGATCTCTCTCGCGCGCGACGAGAAAGATCGAACTGACGGTCTACCTGTGTCTACCACTAGTGAGAAACAAAAAAAAAAAAAAAAAAAGGGAAAAGAAAAAGACACATAGAACTGAAGACGAACTGAAGCACTGACCTCGAGGAAGTCCTTCACTGTGGTATCGACGACCATAAGAGGCCGTTGAATCAAATGGACCACTCCATTGCGCACTGGGATGTTCGGTTTAATTATTTCGGCCAACACGACTCCGGTCGGGTGGCCAGCGTCGCCAATCATGGTATTCGATTGCACGTAAACTGAAAATAACATTTCCAATTAGTGAGCCGGACGATACATTATGCCTGCACGAAGAGCGATTAAGTATCGTTGCTGCGGAATCGATTGCGAAACCGAACGATCACGACATTAATTGACACGAGATTAATTCTTTGGCAAATGATTCGTCGGGCCGAATTTTAACGTTTGGTTAAATGCGTTTCTTTTTTTCTATTATTGGCAGTTATCGTCATGTGCGTTAACTGTTGGAAGATTTGAGGAAGAAACAGGGAGGAATTTTGAACAGTGAAGAAAACTATGGCGACATAGTAATTGTCAGCAAGAGTGCGAAGTTTAAGATAAAATTTAGTAAAATTAGTAAATTTGTTTCTTTAGCGAAGAGTTTCTCTGCAACTTGGAAGATTCGTAAAGCAATAGAAAATAATTTCTAACCATTGAGATGGTTAGAAGTTTCAAGGGGTAAAATTACGTAGTCGAAAGTTTCACCACTTTAATACTACATTGAAAATATTTTATGGTTTTTGGGACAGACTTTGGAATAGTCGCAGCTTTCAAATTTATATGCAGAGTATATCTCTTATAGTCAGAGTTTACTTGAACTCTGCAAGTTTTTAACTGATTTTGTCCAAATGTACGAAAATATAACAATTACTCAAGAACTTAAAGGAAAGATAATTAAAAAATTTTAGAATTCTTTCACTTCAGAAGCAATAAATTTTGTAACATGCAGGGCGTTTCACATTTAAATTATTTCATCTAAATTATCCAATATTTGATAATTTACGTTAATAATGAATTATCCAATATTTGATAATTAACGTTGATAATGAACGTTATTTTATACTACTTTAGAAATACGTCTATCTCTTCATAAATGCATTTAACAATGAAAATTATTCTAAGACTATTAATATTTTCCAACATAAATATTATAATTTAATACAATATTTACTTTTTGAACTGTACAAATTCCAGATAAAGTTAAGATAAAAGTTACTCGAGTTTTTAGTAATCACCAAAAAGATAGATGAAAACGTGTTTTGAAGAGTTCGTATAATTTAATTTCCGCTAATTACGTATCCACGTCGCTCTTCATTTATATTGCTAATGCCTTACATTGCGCCTTTTAAAACGTGCGTGAAAATGTCGCTCGAAACTGTTCAACTCGCCGATTCAAATTTAACTACGGCTATTATTGATTTTTGTTACGTTAATACGACAGTCCGCTGTAAGTTTATCGCACTTGATTTTTTTTTCACGATGATTGCTCACCCTTGTCATGTTCCTTGAGGAAGCTAACGGTGACCTTGACGTTATCCGTGAACGCAAGTGTCTCGTAAGGTACATTGTGAGGTGTCGGTGTCGTGAAGAGGACGTGGTTTGGTATTACGTGGCCATCAATTACCACACGGTCAACCTTCTCCGGCCTGGGCGACGGCTGTAAAAGAGCAAAACGAATTTATGGAGAAAAAGATTGCTAACATGATGACTGAAAAAAAGGATGCTATAAAAATTCTGATGGATTCTTCCGATTATGATATAAAAGAAATTGGAGCATCAATGTTTCCTTTCAAGGCGAGGATCTTAATTTTTCACTTCCTTCTAATTGCTCAAAGAGGTTGAAGAACTTGGAGAATTTGTAGAATTTAAAGAACTTGAGAAAATTCATTAATACTACGATATTCGGGGGGATGAATTTTTAAAATGAAACAGTATTCGGAACATATTACAACACTATTGTAAGAGCAACAATATTGGGCATGTAGATTATGACTAAAAGTGGTAATTTGAAGAAACAAATTTTTGAAATAAAATTAAAAGGTACTAGCAAGAGTATGTAAATATCATAATTTGAAGTAGGTGTTTTTCGATTTGTATTTGATAAAGAAATGAACATTTCTAGGTAATTGAGTAATAACGAATCGTGCAATCAGTCCTGTTCAAAACGATTGCTGACAAAGCTGCTGACTTTCTACCTGCATTCGAGCTGAAGAAGAAAGGCATCGCTGAAGTTATCATCGAACGATAATGCAATTTTTGACCCGAACTGGAAGACCCGACAGCCTGTTTACTAGATCAGATCCTTCCCATTTGAAATCTCGAATACTTCAAATAATTCCTCTCGTTCACGTCCATTGTCAGAGAATGAACTGGCACAGTCGCATCAAATTCTACGCGTCAGTTCTCAAAACCATTCTACATAGATTTTCGACTATAGAGGTCTCCAATCGAACCATCCATCAACCGCATATATTTACGTTCAAAAGAGCGCCCCTGCATCTGGCTCGAGTTATATACATAAATCTTCGTTCGCTGGCCTATCGATCCGGCTTCCGATCGAACAGGTTTTCAGGCTGTTTAATTTCCCGAAACGCGCTAGATCTCCCGATTTTTTTTTTTTTCTCGGATACGTTGTGAACGGCTATCGAATCGGAAGGATTCTCGGTCACTCGGATTTTCGATTGCGCGTGGTCCAAATTATCCGCCCTTCTGAATATACGAGCCTACGAATTCCGCGTCGCTCGATTTTCTGATTGTATCGGTTCTTGATTGATAGGATTCTCGATGATACAAATTGCTAAACCCTCCCCCACAAGTTTTGTCCCCAATAGGGACTATAGATTCCCAATTGCTCGAATTCGCGATAAACTCGGAGCTTTGAATTACGCGTCCGTTTCAGCCTAATTGCACTTTTGTTTCAATTGGACCTTTGTTAAAGCCAGATCAACTGAAATGCAGAAAATATGAATCCCATCTTTTCTGCATGTCGCAGAAAAATAACAAGAAGCACGCTCGCGTGTAATTCGTTCAATCGTCTTTCAACGTTAAATTACAAAAGTCTCAACAACAAAATGTATGTGTATAATATTTAATTTTAATACAATACCAAACTCAATATCAATATTGAAATATCAAATCAATTAAGCCAATCAATATTTAATATTAAAAACATAATATTACTGACTGAATAATACAAAGTACTAATGACAATAAAATACTAAATAATAAATCAGTATGATCACTCATATCAATAATATTTGTTCTTCGTATGAAGTTTAAGCTAAAAATCTTGAATCATTTGAGAAAACATTGCAGTGAATTAGTATAGCATATGAATTAATTATACAGATAAATTTTACATACTTCCATAGATACTTCCATGGATAAATCGTAATATTTCCAATATAAATAAATTACATTCGACGTTCAATAATAATTTATACAAATATAAATAAATTACAAATTAAATATAATTATAGATATATTACAATATATTATAATATATATTGCAATATATATTGTAATATAATATAATAAATTAAAAATTAAATATAAATAAATTATATTCGACTCGTTAAATAATAAACGAGATAACATGTGCCATCGACGTGACGTAGAAAAAGTCTCGAGCCTACTCGCGTAAGAGCAGCGAAAAAAAATTACAAATTAAATATAATATAATATAATATATTACAATATATTATAACATATATTGTAATATATATTGTAATATAATATAATAAATTACAAATTAAATATAAGTAAATTACATTCGGCTCGTTAAATAATAAACGAGATAACATGTGCCATCGACGTGACGTAGAAAAAGTCTTGAGCCTACTCGCGTAAGAGCAGCGAAAAAAAATTACAAATTAAATATAATATAATATAATATATTACAATATATTATAACATATATTGTAATATATATTGTAATATAATATAATAAATTACAAATTAAATATAAGTAAATTACATTCGGCTCGTTAAATAATAAACGAGATAACATGTGCCATCGACGTGACGTAGAAAAAGTCTCGAGCCTACTCGCGTAAGAGCAGCGAAAATATTTAATTAACCGGTCGATAAGACATCGCGTCTCACTAATTACTTGCACTTTCATGCTGAAACCATTTCGACCCTTGTCCCACGTTGGTTTAGTCTCGGGCGGCGTCTCTCCTGCGGGGATTCTGGCTAGCTTCAGCTCACAGGGTCTATGTAAACGGCCCCTAATGCGGTGTAATCGCGTAAAACCGCGGAGGCGAACGAACGTCGACGTCAAAGACGTGCGGACGCACGAGGGTGCGGCATCCCGGTTACAGTTGCTTACAAAAGTGTATCCGACATCCCTCACGATATTTCACAAACTCACTGTAGACCGTCTCTCTTACGAACATGTCACGCGTTTTATTATCTTTCACGAGTAGATCGTCTCGTGCGATAAATGATTTGAGATCTGTTTCTGACTCGGTCAATGTCTCGGTGATTATCACGATCAGGCTGTAAATATATTCGCGCAGTTTCATAATTTTTAGAATTAAACGCATGGAACTTAGTTTGCAATATGTATATATTCGTATCATTTGTGTGTGTTTTTATATACAAATTTCTACACCCGCAAATTCATTGAAATTCGACGAACCGAACCTGATGATACATACGAGAAATGGGGAAACATTTATTGCAAGTATACATTTTGTGTATACAATTATTTCAATATTAAAAGGTTCCAAATTTTACCAATACTCACGATAATTATTATATTTACAGCGATACTGGATTTTCAATTGTTCGCGCTGAAGCAGGTAATCCGGCTTAAAGGGATCAATTTCTTTTTTATATTTTCTCAAAGTATATGCTTTCGGAAATGTTTATGTAAATGGATTTGTTTGAATTCGTAAAATTGGCAAAGTTATAGATGTTTACTGCTCGCAACGTAAGTATGAATATTTTTGTACAACGGATAACAAAAACTTCAAATGTATTTTTCTCAAAAAATATTTCATTTCATAATATTATTATTTATTTTTATATTATTATTATTTTATAATATTTTATTTTTTGTAAGTATGAATATTTTTGTACAACGGGTAACAAGAACTTCAAACGTGTTTTTCTCAAATCCATATTTTTTAAACTGGCTGACGGGATATCTCAAGTTTTAGTCGACCGATTGACTTGAAATTTGGAGAAGATCTTCACCGAATGTGCCTCTATCGCATGAATTACGGATTTTAAAATCTGATGTTTTTTCTTATTTTTGTTTACCACCCAAAGCACAAAGAAAATCGATATTTAAACTTCAAAATGCTGCCATTTTTTAAATTTTCGACACCTCGCTGTTTCCGCGGTTCATGCTATAGCCATATTTACACTAATTAAGATGCTTTCTGGTTTTTTCGTTTCAAATAACCAGATGGACCGGAATCAAGTCAGCCATTCGAACCCGTTTTTAAAAACTAAAAACTGCTTCACCTAAGGCTATGTAATTTCCACAACTTTCATTAATTTCGTTAAAACAAAAATTGTATAAATACTCTTTAAATACTCTTTAAATCTGTGTGCGAAAACTGCATACCAAAACGTGTCATGGTTTCTTTAGAAAAAAAAAAATCCCCAAAAAAGTCGATTCTTATACCAGAATACCCTTTTAATTATGTTCTGGTAAGTTGTGATATTCTAAAATTTTTCCACGTAAATAATAATTTTTCTCTGGGCAACACTTTCGCGAGCCACTGTACGCACGTTCGAGGGTCGATGCGGCGCAACGAGCCGGCTAAGGACGCAAAATATAAAGCGTCGACTCACCGGACCGATTATACATGTACGTCCCTCATTATCGTCGGCGCGCGTGTAAAGGTCATTGCGGCGTAAGGGACGAGCCCGGTATGAACGATTGATTTCCGATTCGTGATAAGGCACGGCCAACGTTCCACGGCACCGACGCAATCGTATTAAACACCGGCCATCCTGTTACGAGCGTGTTGTTCCTCGCGTGACAAAGATAAACCGTGTCATCTGTTTTCCACGATCGAGGATTTCCAGGGTGGCTGGCTGGCTGGCTGCAGGCAGCTCGTTAACGCGCGTCGCTCCTCTCAAAGGGTGCAAACCGGGTGTCGCAGAGCGCGAGAAGAAGGACGAGCCGCAGGATACGAAAGAGTTTAGAAGTCGAAGAATGACAAAGGGTGAATTTTAGCGCGCGTCGGTTGATATTCGGGTGGCTGGCTTTCACTTTGTGGTTTCTTCGCTTTGTATCAGCCACGTTTCCATTGTCGGTTCGCTGTATGGGCGACGTTTTAAAAATTGTCAAGAGATACTTCTCAAGATGATAGTTATTTTATCCAATAAATATGATTCACGTATATTCCGTGATTCATCGTCGCACGATTTACTTTGTTATTATGTGATCCTTGTTGATCAGAAAAAATTCGCTACTTTTGTGACAATTACAAAAATCGATTCTTCCAGTGAACCGAGTTTTTTTTTTTCAAAAATAGGAATTTAGTTATGGAATAAAATTGGCTCTTTCAGTGAAATTTTCATTGCATGTTGACAAATGTTTGTTTCATCTCACGTACGTGTATAGTTCTTAATCGCTTTTTATGAAAATTGTGTCAGGAAAATGTGCGTTTAAACTTTAAACTAAAAGTGCGATGTTTGGATCCTCGTGAAAAGATGACTGTAAAAGTTTCAACGAAACTCAGTTCGTTAATAACGAATGTTGTTGAAATACTTTTACGTGTATGATAATTCACAGTGCAACAAGAAAATTGGATAATTCTTAACGAGCGAAAATGATCGAAACCTCAGATGACAGATTTAGGAATCTGGAGGTCTATTTTATTCACACTATTTATTTTCGCCTCTCTGATGAAGATTTATCGTTTATACTCTCGCGAGACGTGGAAGATGAATCTGTTTTTCTTTTTTTTTTTTTCAAAATCACGTACGTATTTTATGAGAATACATTTTGCTTGCTTTAAATAGTGTTAAAATTTTTTATTAAAAATTCGAGCAACTATTATTGCACTAGGCGATCGTAATATTTTATTTTATACATCACATATTTCCTTGCCTAAAACTTTATCAATAACTCCAGTCGTAAATAACATTCATCAAGCCTACAACTCGAGAACCACGAGCTACTTCAAGTTATTCACTTGTCAGCTTGCTTTTTGTTCCACTCTCGACTTGTTTCACGATTTCCCTCGTTCTTTTTCCTTTCTGCTTCACATCCAGTTTCCCAGGATATAACCCGAAGCAACAGAATTCTGCAAGCGGCGGTGCAAAGCTACGGAATCTTGCCAAGTTGTTTCACTGTTTCGCTTCGCGGTCAAATCATGCGCGCGTGTAAATAATAGCCGAAAGTATCGCAACGCAAAACAATTCAATTCCATTTCGAGAGGCTAGTTCGAAAGATTAGAAATGAAAAAATAATATTTGAATGGCAACATCTGCTGCCTGGATTCTATTTTTTTCTTTTTTTTTTTTCACGTGTTTTCCTTGAACAACTTCCTCAAAGGATTTGATTCACAGATTACACAATGCGATTAGAATAATAAACGCAGCGTGTTATTTTGTGAAAAATTGTTATTATAGTTTTAACAACTCCATTTTTTTTTTTTTATTTCTCACGTTACACCGAAACTTCTTAATTCACCAAGCACCAAGCACAGAAAATAACACGCGAATCAACAGAATGGAAAAATAATAGAAGATCCAACGATTCGAAAATCTGGCAATTTAAACGTTCGGAGCACCGAGAATCCGACGATTTGAAAACTTGTGAATTCAGAGATTCGAGAACGAAATGTCTGTTTCGTGACGTTCGCTGCCTTCACGAAAGTTCTTTTTCCCCTCCTCTCTATTCTGTTTCTGATCGTTCGACTGGTTGCTCGTGCCTCTCCGCATTTAGTATTTTCCAGAATCGTTGGCGAGAGACTTTATTTCTCCCACTCGCGACGTGGGATTCTTCTTTCGTTTCAGCTAATTCTGGATGCAGCCGGCAAAACTGTACGTGCCGGAGAGTTTCGCCGGAATTATTCACGATATCATGTAAGATGTAATCACGTAACGCAGCCACCGACGAAACGATTTCGTTCCCTTCTGTTTTTCTCTCCAGTGGCAAGCCCCGCGAGGGAGAATTCCTCGCACCGCCGCCTCGCGAGAAATAAACTTCTTTGTTTCCTTATCTGCTCGTTCAGACGGTTTCCTCTTTCTCTGTAAATTTTCAGCGGAACAATCGAGAAATACACGTATAATAGTTAATAGCTGCGGCTTTCTACGTGTTTGAGTGTTGCACAGATTGGAGTAGAAAAGACCTTTGACGAAAGAGCAATTTAACGCAATTTAATATTTCGGAATTTGGTACTTCGTTAATTTTGCAGTGTAAACATACTATTTGCACTGCTAACTATCGAGTATTAAATTAAACAAATAATTGACGAAAGAGAGTGGAAATAGAATCCGGAGGCTGGAGTCGGGTTATTTTCGAAAGTTCCTTCGAGAACGAGGTTGAGAGAACAACGTTTCGTTTCCTCGTTTCGTGGATTCTTGTTTCGTTCACAAGGGGGAATTTTTTGGAGTATGACGAAAAGAACGTTACAACGCACAATATTTCGCAGAAGAGAACTCACAAAATCCAAAGAGTATGAAGTGAATTGTAAAGCAAAGTTTACCTCCACTACCGGACGATCATATAAGTTTTTAGTTACCAACAAAGGAGGTAAAGTGAAAGAAGGAAAATTTAATTTTCGAACTTTCATACCGTTCCAAATAATATTTCATTAAATAATAAATTATTAATATATTAAATAAGTAACAATATATTAAATAATAGTAATACCTCCACTGGAAATAATAATTTCTACGGGCCGAGTAATATATCATCGCGATTGTTCAAACTGCCTTTCGCCGAAGATTGGGTAAATGATAAAATCCCCGTACACATTTCCTCCTGATGCATGACGTACATACGTTCAAAAAAAGATAAAATAAAAAAAAAAAAATGGAATAATTTTGTTCGACGCGTAAATACGAAAAATCAGCAGCTGAAATTGAAACAAATAGATTCCGGCGATCAACGATCGGCATTTTCCAAAAATCAACAAATGCAGCGAAAAGGAAGAAAAGAGAGAGAGAGAGAGAGAGAGAGAGAGAAGTGGGAGCACATTCCGAGGGGTTGATAAAACGGAAATTACACATGGAAATGATGCTGCCACGTTTTTCCCAGAAATTTCCAACCGTGTGTGCCCGCGATATCGGATACGTATTCGTAGCTTGATTGCACAATGTATATCCGCGGTTCGCACGTATGTGGACTCGGTGTACAAAGGAGCGTGAAGGGCGTGCACGAATCGAGTTTCGGCCCTCAAAAGCCCCGTTCCGTTCACGGGCGTGAACGTTCGAACCGCGTGGAAAAGCATTCGGGGAAGCACGTCATCGCCGCAGCTTTTCCAATCGAACGACAACGAGCCGATGCTTCAATGCCGCAGGACGTAAGGAGCCGCGACTTTCTTCGCTCGAGTGTTCGATTCGTCAACGCGGCCATTACCAATCGGAGAAACTTGGCGACGAGAGAGAGAGAGAGAGAGAGAGAGAGAGAGAGAGAGAAGAAAAGGAAGGGTAGAATTAAAAACGAAGGGCGTGAAAGCTCGATCCTTATTTTTTTTATCTCTTTTTTTGGAGGGGGACGGAGAAATGAATCTTCAGGTCTGAGAGATGTTCATTAGAAAATCGAAGGAAGATAAAAAAAAGAAAGTTTTGAAAAAGATACTGTCTTTGGAATGTAATTTTATTTCTGACAACGACTTTGGATTTTAATTTTTTATGCAGAAAGATAGTCCGGTGATTTGGCGTTCAAACTTGTCAGTGTGTTTCATAAATGAGAACAAAGCTAAAATAAGAATATCGTCCGAAACGAGTAAGATTTATTGGTCTATCGAAGGATATTCTGTTCGAACAGTTTTTCCACATTTCCGCAACGACGAACCCTCGTCGCCGGAATTACGTTCGAGCGTAAAGAGCAACGAACTGACTCATGCAGAAAATGACCGGTCGTCGCAGCGAGCGATCAATTAATCTCGATTGCGGGGGAGAGTTGCTTTTATCCCCCATGAAAATTGGCGAGGTGACGCGAAACGCTAAACAGGAGCGTCAAGATTACACGGAATCGCTGGTACATCACGAAACAGGCCCGTTAAATTATAATAGGCCAGCTGGAAGTTAATAACGCCGTTGGGTAGCGAACAACGCGAGCGTCGGCGCAGATACGATCGGCAATTTGCCGGTGCTGCTGTTTTTCGTAATTTCGCGATTAAAGTGGCGTGCGTTCGATCAATTTCCACGGGTCACGTGATCAAACCTCGAGTGTGAAATCTAGAACCACGGCGGAACAGATACTTTCTATAATTACGCCGAGGCGCGCCAGATCTAAACGAAACGCTCTTGTGTCGGGGTACATCGAAAGATGTAAACAATCTAAGAGAGAAAATTTTTAAAAAACACACGCGTCTGGACTTGGAATTTTTCATTGTATAATACATATTTTGCGCGTGTTTGCAATGTAATTATTCGATGAGATAAGAATGAGAGAATATCGTGTCTGACCATATACGGTGTAAACCACTTAGGTTTCAACAGAAAGACGAGTCTTTCTATATCCCAAAAATAATATTCTTCTTTTTTCTTTTCAGATAGAATTGTCTTCACAGAAAATACCATGTATGTTACAACTTTTCAATATAAAATATGAATCGAGTCGAGTACCGTGTCTGATCATGCACCGTATATTTCACTTATAGAGGAGCCTCGATTCAATGATTTCCTTCAATTCGCTTCAGTTAACAACACCGAACGATATATCTAATTAAATATAAACGAACTCAAGCGTTTATCGTGCAAATTGATAAACAAAAGATCCATTCAACAATCAATTCCAGTTTCGTGACAAATTCTGCGAATCGAACACTACTGAATCTATCACTGGTCATATTAAGTGTTAAAACGCGCACTATTTTATTTTAATACAAGTTGTCGCCGGCAAACGATTATTGAGATCGATCGTACTGCGAATTTCCGCAATGATAACTGAATTAGCTCCGCGGATTTCAGGTTCATGGTAAATGTAATCGATCAGAATCTGTCACTTCCGTGGACCAGCAGAACGAGCTGGCACGGTCTGAATCCTTTCACGGGGTTCGCAACAGGGGATATTAAGGTCCTTTCGGGATGATCGATATGGGAAGGTTGCTAAGCAGCTTACCCGGAAACCCTCCTCAACGGGGATAAGAAAGGTGTAACGTCCGTCCGCCTTGAAGACTTCCTCCTTCTTTTCCGTCACGATCCGCTGTCGGAAGATTCTGCAAGAAAGTTCGGCTCGTTAATTGAACATAGTTCTACTGCACTTTTTTCTCCTCCTGATTTTTGTTTACGCGAAATGTGACTCGTTATTTCTATGAAATTAGTAGTTGTAACGTTTGTAGAAAAAGTGACTTTGTTTTTTTGTTATTATTATTTTTTTCAATAGTTTTGTTATTATTATTTTTTTCAATAGAACAAAGTATTAGGAAGTTGATGATAATAGAATAATAATTTTGGAAAAAATCAATCAACGTAACTGAGAATACATTTCGAGAGTCTCTTATCTAGTTTCGTGGAAAAATAATAATTTTGGGAAAAATAGAAAATTTGGGAAAAATAGTAACTTTGGGAAAAATAATAATTTTGGGAAAAATCAATCAAAGTAACTAAGAATACATTTCGAAATCCTCTTATCTAGTTTCGTCCTCAAACTAAAATAATTGGTTCTGTACGGTTAATTTTTATTGAAACTTTTGCATCACAATTATCAAAAATTTCAAATATTACTTTTCCTACTGTATTTTAAAATAATTTTAAAATAATTTACAGATTCACAATGTTCGCAATGGCATTTCGTTGATTAGAAAAGTCGAAGAACGTGTTCGCGTGTTGTTAATTGTATCGAAACAGGATTAAATTAAAACGCGAAAATCCACGGGGATGAATTCTTGCGAAATAATTTATTAACAAAGTTTTTCTCGCGAAAAAGAAGTATATATGGAAAAAGTTCGACAGTGCTTTACGCAAGAGGAACAAGCGGGGACGTTGTTCGCGCGCGCCAACGGTAAATGAAATGCAGCGAAGCTTAAAGAACTTTCGGAAGGGTGAAGCTAATTCACTCAAGTTTTACTTACTCGGATGGCAAGCTCCACGGCAGCGGCGAGACTTTAAATATCGATAAAGACTTGACAAAGTGAGCATCGAAGTTACTTAGGAAACAACTACGAAAGTTAGGTTCCATCTTCATCTTTCGAAGGAACGTGAGCGGACTTTCGCCCGATGTATTCTACCCGCGAAGAAAGAAACTATGATCCGGTAAGTGATGGAAAGTGATAAGCGATGCTGAATAATAAAGAAAATCGGCGGGAACGTAATCATCCACGAATGATGAAAATAAAGAAAAATGGAGAAGATAGAAAAAATTGGATCGTCATCTTTTATTATTGAAGTTATCTGAATTTTGGAGTTTCACGGATAATATTTCGTTAGATGTACAGATCAACATATTACATTTATTATAACATTAATTTTTTGATTATTAGTAGTTCATATTCTAAATAAATCATCTGCATGTAATATTTAACCAAAAATAATAATTGACTGAAATTTTAATAGATTCAAGTGACAATATGTAGAATATATTTATAACTGTACATTCTCATATTTTATACTGAGCTATCTATTCTTAGATACATTCACTTAGAACTGATATTCGAATAAAATTAAAAATTAGTATATTGGCTGGAGATACAATATCATCTTGGAAAAGTTACGTAAATATTATCTTAAGAAAGCTTCCACTGACTTTATGGAAAAATCGTAAGTATGTTATGCTTCGATCGATGAATATTTCCCGAAGAAATATCTTATCAGAGAGAATTTTCGAGTTAATTTTCACTTGAATAGCTTTCGTTATAGTTCAGAAGAGAAACACAAAGTCATCGGGCAGAGAGAGCGAGAGAGAGAGAGAGAGAGAGAGAGAGAGAGAGAATTCGTTACTTACCGAACACGATGAACACCCAAGTCGAGATTCTCACTTTGATTCAGAAATTCGAAGGCGTTCGGGCTGTAGATCGGCATTTCCGCGGAATTCGAGCGCACTGGCTCCAACACTTCGTTTATTATGTGCAAAACCTGAAACACATCAAAATAACACGCTTACATAGTGCGTAATAATTATCAGATTATTTTATATCATATCTGTATTCCATTTCTAACAGATTAAATTAAATCCGAAACAAATCTTTCGATATCTGTTACTGCATACGTGTATAATTTTCATAGACATTAACATGTTACCATATTCCGCGTATTATTGCAGATTTTCTCTTTAAATAATCTTTTAACACGCAATAGAAATGAATATAAAATTGCTAATATTTCTTTCTCTAAACTATAATGAATATAATTACAGAATCATTTTATTTCGAACAAATTATGTGAAATTCAGCTAGAATTTTATATTTTATTCTAAAAGAAAACAAAGTAATTAATTTTCAACTTGGCGAATATTAAAATATGATGTGAAATTAGATAATTGCAAATTTAAGAAGGAAAAATTATTTAAACATTCAACTTAAATGGTTATTTTATGATAGGATCAGTCGTGCAACTTCGAATGGCTCGGTACACAGTATGCTCATTAAAATGATCGGACTTTTCGATTTGATGTGTGTATCACGTTTTTTGTCGCATTCCTTTTTGTCGCGTGTTATTCAGCAATCAAGAGAAATAAAGCTTTGAAATGTCATATCGCTCGGCTCGGGGTTGCCATCGTTCAGTTCGAATATCCTTTCGAAAATCCACTCGACTGACAATATCGTTGACGCCCGGATAATCTGTTTAATACGTGAATTCATCGACGCGAGATAATTTCAACATTATTCGATTTAACGCTTCCTTGCGTGTCTATTTACCATATTACGTAATACACGTATTACGCGACGCAAGCAATAAATTTAATATCTTAATAATCCTAATAATCCCTAATTGAGAGAGTTTGCAGTTTTTATTTTTGCAGTTCGACAGTTTGCACATTGTCAATGATTCAGATCAGATTCAACGAATCTGTTCTATCTCCGCGATATTGGTTGTGACGTTGCATTGCATCTCCACGCCATTGTCCCTTCTTTCACAGACGGAAGCAGACGTTCGCCAGAGACAAATCTCTCATGGAAAAAAGAAACAAAGAAGAACGCTGCTAGACGAATTGCCGTCATTCCGTCACTCGGCAACAACCCACCAAAAAAACGAAACCGATTCATCCTCCTCAGGATGGTCGTCCTCAATCGTTCACAAACGCGCGAGCACCTTTCGCAGAGAAGAAAGGGCAAACGATTGGGAAAGAGAGGGGTTCGTTATCGCGATGCTGGCTCGAATCGACAGGTTCAACGAGCATCGTAGTAAATTGCTGTCAGAGATGCAGCTTGCTTGTAAACGTAGGGAGTGTACAGTTAATCTCGGGTGGAAGCCGCGGGAACCGAGACGGTACAAGCGTTGCTGATGGTGTTCGGAGGCGAAGATATAGTAAGACAAACGACATCGCGGCCCGACGGCGGAGGAAAACGGGGACACGGAAACGATGGAGGAAGAAGATAAAGCGAGAACGAGGAGGAAAAACGGACACGAAGGAAACCTGGTGGATAAAGGGAGGGGGATGGGGTATTTATTCTGTGGCGAGGAACGCAACTATTTCACGGGTGTCGACTTGGATGCTGTTGGATGCAACTACCCCCTCTCAGTCTCCCCCTCTCACTCTCTCTCTCTCTCTCTCGATCTTCCATCCTCATTGGAAAAGGTGCACCGCCATTTACTATCCGAGAGTTTGCGACTCCAACGTCCCAAACCACTTTTTATCCCCTCCCACCCCTCGCGATCACGGTGATTCTTTTATCTCGTCGAAGAGTATTCCTCTTCAGCTCGATAACGCCGTTTTGTTCTTTTGCCAGATCGACGTTTTGCCACCGCGATTGGAACATGCTTCCAACGTGATAAAAATCGACGGTCATCGGCTATCAAAGGACTTTAGAGGGGTAAAGGATTTCACCGAGTGAATCATTTTAGATAATATTGAATTTGGATAACGCGCGGTACGTCGGGAATGAAAAGTTCTTGGGAAAGTCCTTTGCGTTTAATAGAAATATATATTCGTATATTATTACAATTTATTAATATGTCGTTGGATTGATACGTGGAAAATTTTGGAAAAGTAGAATCTTTTACGAAGCAAATCATTCTAGGGGGGATTGGACTGCGTGGTAAATTCAAATTGCTTGGAAAAATTTCGAAAAAATTGGAAACATTACTTCCTCATTAGAAGTGAGGCATTTTTCTAATTATTTTATAGAGAGTTTTCAGGCAGCTAGTAAAGTAAAATTACTTAAGACTGACGTTAAGACTCGACAGTAAGATACACGTCGGAAAACAAAAATCCTCTTCCCTTTAATATATACGTATCTCGATTGAAATTTCAACGCGTTCTCCATCAAAAAAAAAAAAAAAAAAAAAAAAAAAATGTACTTACTCCCCAGCACGTTATTTATTTGCGGTACAAGAAGGAGGAAAGCCATCGAAGACATACGTGTACAAACAATCGAGCATCGTAGTCAATAAATCGTGGAACGAAAATCTGTTATGTCGAAACGTTTCTTCGCCGATAGAGGCATTCTTAAAGCTACGCTCTCAATAAAGAAATACAGAGGTTGGAGAGATTGCATGATAACAAAGAAAATGGGGATGGAGAGGGGTGGAAGAACGTGTTCCATTTGTTCGGTACGAGGACTCCCAGCTGCAGAGGGGAAGTCACAAAGTCACCAAAGGGAAAACAATGATACGCGTTTGTACAGGAGTAGTGTGGGTACCTTGAAACGAATCGTCTTGTTCCTCTGCAATGATTGGGGACGAACGGACTTTCCGTATTCTTTTGACGTTCATTTATCTTACTTGCCGAACACGAATCACCGGGGGGGAAAAAAGATCGAAGTTTCCCCAACGAAACTTTAATTTTTTATGCAATTTCATACGTGGACGTATTCGTAGGATACTTGCGAATCTTGTAGTATCTTATAGCGGAGAATGTTTTGGTGAATTTTTTGTTAAAATTTAAGTATGGCAAATTTGATAAAAATATGGAGAGGACTGGATTGGAGTGAATATTGATAAAAATATGTTTCAGTGATATAGGAATTATTTTAGAATTAACTTTTCGATTGATTTTTGTATTTTTTTAAACAATTATTTTATTTTCGACAGCGAGAAAAATGATCGTGAAAGTAAAAATAATTATAAACACCTGAGGAAAATTTTTATTCCATGTTTTTACCATTTGCCTCGAATGAGTAAGTTCATCATTTAACTGCAATACTCGTGCAATAAATACTTAAAACATGTAACAACATGTAAAGAAAAAGACGAGCAGGAGAAATAGATAGACCAAATTGATAATATTCATCATCGCCACAAGTTTTTCACAGTTTCGTAAGAATCAAATCAACAAACGTATTCGACATTGATACATTTAAATTCGTAATTTTCAGACACCCATATATACTTAATATTAGTAGATTTACTAATCTACAATTTTTCAAACAAAAAAAAAAAGGCCTGGCTCGTGTAACATTCGTTTCTCAACGTTCCCTTCACGGTTTGCCTCGTGAAGTATTGACAAATGTTTAAGAATCACGCTGTATATGTCCGACAGAATGGAAGACAAGCGAACCGAAGCAACTTTTCGATTCGATTGCTCGGGACAGACAATCCTTCTCCGCCGGTTCACCCGTACAGAACGGTTTATATTCCTCCTCCGAATGAATTTTACACGGCGAATGTTACGTGTGGCGAGTGCCTGTTTCTGGAACGCGACATTTCTTGGGGACGAAGTATCTGGAACAACGGGCGTACATCTTTTAACGGAAGCGGACGTTTCTATTCCTCTTGTTGTTTGCGGTTAAAGGAATACATCTGTCTCGAAACAATCGCTGCGGAATTAAAGACACAATAAAAATGTGTCGCCGTGTTTCCGCCGTTTCCGATTTCATTCCTTCGATCTTCGTTTTTATCGGCAGGAAACTGTCTCAAAGAGGGAACGCGGACGAAATTATTACAAAAGGGAAAGTCGTAACTGAACTGCGAATTTCTGTGAAATTCACGAGATACTTGAATACGCGAAGGTGCATTCGTTATTATAATTAATTTTTAATTAAATAATCTTATTATAATTTCTAATGAATAATTTAATGGGTAAAGCGTTGTGTGTTCTCAATCTAGTGAGAATTCTAGATCAATTGATAAATAATAATAAATGATAACATTTGTATTGAAAGTGAGAATTTTGAAAATGACTTGAGACAGCTTTCGAGCGAAGCCTGAGATTCGATACGAATTTTTAAAATCGCAGTTTGCAAATTTAAAAATATTCTTTTATCCTTTTGATTTAGATGTAATCTCAAATGTCCACGATACAGAATAACGTGTATAAAATGTATAATAACATAATGCAATTTTCTTTGAAATTTGTTGACCAACAATTGTGCCCATAAAATGATTACACACGTGTAATTATACCCGCAAATGATGAAAACTGCGATTATCAGAATTGAAAAATCGAAGGAAATTAATCGCAATGACGAGTTTGCAGTTTACACATGTTTCAGATATAATAACATACTAACAAATCAATAAATTATAATTAACGGAACGGGGGACAACTTGTTACATGAGGGGGCAAGTTGGGAATTAGAACATTAATAGAATGAGATTGAATTACAATTCTGAGTAATTAAATGTTAACTGCGATAGAACGGTATCCATTTAGAATTAATATACTGAACGTTCACCGTATTATTATCTCTATTGAAATCCGTTGTTTTCATTACCGTGAAATTACATTGGGACAATGCAATTACCGAAATAATTTCCATGCGTGAAATATAAATATGTATTTACAGCAGAAATGTAATTCTCTTCGATTCAGATCTAGACAGATCTCAAAAACTTTAGCAGAAAAGTCTTTCATTTTAAAATAAAACTTTTATAAAATTTTTTATATTTAACTTTCATGTATATCATTTCATTTTATTTCATCTTCACACGTCTAAATCCTGCAATTCCACTTTTTATACAAAATTGAAAGAAAT